ATCTATCTATCTATCTATCTATCTATCTATCTATCTATCTATCTATCTATCTATCTATCTATCTATCTATCTATCATCTATTCCCCACCTTTATTATTTTTATAAATAAGGCAGTGAACATACCTAACCCTTCTTCCTCCTCCTCTTATTTTCCCCACAACAACAACAATCTTGTGAGATTGAGAGTCACTGCCCAAAGTCATCCAGCCATATCTATCTATCTATCTATCTATCTATCTATCTATCTATCTATCTATCATTGTCTTTCTGTTTATCCATCCATCTATCTCTATTAATGACATTTAGAAACTGACCATTTCCCACACAGAGGGACCCTGGATAGTGTACAATTCTGTTAAAAGCATATAACATATAAAAAATGAATGTAAAAATTTAAAATGGGGCAAGAATAGTTTAAAATGGTGATATCAAAATTAATTAAAAGGCAGGGGAATGGCTTTCAGGTCACTAACCAGTTCTACGACGGTGTGCTCTGCTGTGAGTTCCAAGCAAGATGGCATAGCCAGGTTTCAGATATTTTCTAAAGGCTAAGAGATTGGGGAAATTCAAAGTTTTGAAGGCAAATACTTTTCCTCCCAACAATCTAAAAGACGCATCTCTACACAGACATCATCAGTTGGACAAGACCAAAACCAAACTGCCTATATACTCTGTGAGCAGAGATGGAAAAATTCTATTTTGTCAGCAAAAAAAAACAAAAAAAAAAAAACCTGCTAATTCCAGTTTAGATCATGTACTATTTTGGGGAGGGGGGGATGGGAAGTGAAACTAAAGAAAACAAGTACATGCTGAAGATTAAAAATAGATTTAATGGACTGGAATTGATAAATAAAATGCTTGAAGAAACCTGGAATGAAATTCAAAACATCATCAAAATGTAGGAGACATCCTGAAACAAACAAACAAAAACAAAAGAAGGCAAAATAGCTGTTAACTTGTTGAAAGTATTTTAAAAAAAGTGACAGAAAGAAAAAGCAACTGAGACAGACGATTATTTACTCAAACACCGAGTTCCAGAGAATAAGAAGAGACACGGAATTACTGTACATTTACAGAAGCAATGCAAAGAAACTGAGGTCAGCAGTTGAATGAGAAAGACCAAGTAGAATAATCTAGGGAAACATTATATGTACTCTGGTTTCTCTTCGAATCATATAAAATGTTCATCTTTTACTAAAGATTTCCACGGAGAGGAACATAAATGAGCTTGGAACTACTTTTTTTGAAACTTTATGCTATCCAAGTGAGATGGATGGCCATATAGATTGATAAATAAAGAAAATAAACTTTATGCAAAGATGAGCATCATAAAAATCAAAGAAGCTTAAAACAGCTATTGAAGATACAAAAAATGGATTGTAATAAATGAAACTGGGCAAAATGTCTGAGTTGATAATAGATATGAAGGTTTGATCACTGAATATCAAGAATGAACACCAGATCCATACATGGAGTTCAAACCAGCTACTTTATTGTTGCATGCTATTTTACAGGAATCTCCTCAGACTGGCAGCTTTCCCCTGGGAAAGATTAGATAAGACTCAAAGACAATTGTGAAAGTAGGTGGTCAGACCTTGCCCTCTTGTGTTTATGTAACGGGTTCAGACTAATTCTCCCTTTGAGCCCTGCTCCCAAACCAGACAATTGCTCTCCAATATTGATATCCACAGGGTATGGTTTAAAAAAAGGCAAAGGTGTCAGCTACAATGGTGCAAATGAAGTTCTATCTGTTGTTTATATCCATCACAAATCTTGACTTTTTAAAACCATACCCTGTGGGCACCCCTTGAATCAGTGGGGGGAATTCAATTTTTTTTACTGCTGGTTCTGTGGGTGTGGCTTGGTGGGTGTGGCTTGGTGGGTGTGGCAGGGGAAGGATACTGCAAAATCCCCATTCCCTCCCCACCCCACTAACCTGCTTTCCAGCTCTGTTCTCCTGTACAAGGCAACCAAAGAAGACCCAGCCGGTCAGCTGGGACTCGTGAGGCAGAGAATAGATGGGGGCGGGGCCAGTCAGAGGTGGTATTTGCCGGTTCTCCGAACTACCCAAAATTTCCGCTACCAGTTCTCCAGAACTGGTCAGAACCTGCTGAATACCACCTCTGCCTGGAATTAGAGATGAACATCCTGGAAAGTGAGGTTAAATTGGGCCTAGAAAATACAGTATGGAGGGTGCCCTGCCCACCCTGCCCCTCCCTGGAGTCCCCATGTGGTCCGTTTTGGATTGCAGGTAAGTGCAGGGCCTGTGTGGAGGTTCCGGGAGGGTGAAAAGTGGGCCTCCCAGAAGAGAGCCTCCGGAGCCCAGGGAGGGTGAAAACGGCCCCCCTCCGGCCCGTTTTTGCTCCCAGAGTGGTGCAGGAGGCCGACTAGGCCATGACCCCCATGGCCACACCCAGCCAGCAACAGGCAGAGAACCAGTTGTTAAATTATTTGAAGCCCACCCCTGGATAAATACTGAATTAAGCAAAACTAGACTGCTTTTACTGGAAGCACTAAGAGCGAAGCTAAAGCTTCGATACTTTGGACACAGAAAACAAAGGCAAAAGTCACTGGAGAAGATCCTTTTTCTTGGAAAAATGTAAGGCCACTGAAAAAGAATCCAACAGAAAGGTGGGGAAAGAACTATGGCTGGTGACTCGAGGAGGCGCTTATGAGAACTTAGTAAAATAGTTACTGACTTGGGGAAACGATGTCACAAAAATGAGAAACAGCTGAATGAATGAGCAACAACTTAAACAAACTTGGGTTTTGGCCTGAGCTGACAATTTGGGGAGGAACTGCCTTTTCCAGCAGGCTACTTGAAAGACCAATGTGTAGCTCAAGTTTAATCGGATAGATCTCAGAAGGCAGAGGTTTCCTCAAAATGATGGCTTTTGAGATGGAAACTGAAACTGCTTTTTGCTAAGTCAGCTCACCAAGAGTCTAACCAGCTTCCCCCCTTTTACTGCCCTTCATCTGTATTCAGGCTGCAATTCTCATTGGCTATGCTGTCTTAAAATATTAGAAACTGTAACCTCAAACCATCAGATTCAGATTCTGATATATTGGCTAGTGACACAATGAGGTAGCCCTGGATTGCATTTGTTCAGTGAACATTCAAAGGTGCAGAGGCACTGAAAAAAGTGACGTCTGACCATGTTTCACACTTACGACAGTTGTTGCAGCATCCCCAGGGTCACGTGATCAAAATTCAGATGCTTGGCCATTGGCTTATATTTGTGACAGTGGTAGTGTCCCAGAGTCATGTGATCACCTTTTGCGACTTTCTGACAAGCAAAGTCAATGGGGAAACCAGATTCACTTAACAACCGAGTGGTACTAATTTAACAACGGCAGTGATTCACTTAACAACTCTGGCAAGAAAGGTCATCAAATGGGGCACAACTGTCTTGCTTAGGAATAGAAAATTTTGCGCTCCATTGGGGTCAAAAGTTGAGGCCTACCTGTATTGTGCACAATGAATTGGGTTGTTCTCATGCTCCTGTTGCAAGAGAGGCAGGAAGGAGTTCTGGTCAACTGAGGGGTTCCTGAGATTGCAAAGTCAGCTCTTATTTGGAGAAAGCCCTACTCCCCGCCCCAGCAGAAGAATATAGACGCAAAAGCATGAGGTATAAAAGAATCACCCTGGTCTGATTCTGCCTCTTTCGAAAACAGTAACTGTGAGAGAGATCTTACACATTCGGGTGAACGATCACTTCAATATGAGCCAGCAGTGTGCGGCAGCAGCTGAAAAAGCAAATGTGATCCTTGGTTGCATAAACAGAGGCACAGAATCAAAATCACATGAAGTATCAGCACCGTTTTACAAAGTCTTAGTCAGGCCATGCCTGGAAAACTGCATCCAGATTTGGTCACCGCATTACAAAAAAGATGTTGAGACTTTGGAAAAAGTGCAGAGAAGAGCAATAAGGATGATTAAAGGCCTGGAGGCTGAAACAGATGAAGAACGGTTGCAGGAATTGGGTATGGCCAGTCTAGAGAAAAGAAGGACTAGGGATGACCGTGATAGCAGTCTTCCAGTATTTGAGGGGCCATCACAAAGAAGAAGGGGTCAACTTATTGGGGCAGGGCAGGGCAAGAGACAATGGATGGAGACTAATCCAGGAGAGAGCAACCTGGAATTAAGGAGAAATTTCCTCACGGTGAGAACAATTCACCAGTGGAACAGCTTGCCTTCGGAAGTTGTGGGTGCTTCATCACCAGAGGCTTTTAAGAAGAGACTGGACAGCCACATGTCTGAAATGGAATGGGGTCTCCCGCTTGAGCAGGGGGTTGGACTAGAAGACCTCCAAGGTCCCTTCCATCTCTATTCTGATTGCAGGGATCCTTGGCAATCTCAGTTCTCAATCCCTACGGCCGCCTCGAGCCTGTCTCTGCCTCTGTCCCCCCCCCCACTCGCCGGCAGCTCCAAGTCTCGCTTTCTCCACAAGGGAAAGATCAGATCAGCTGATTCCCCACCAGCCAATGCAGGCCGGGGGATTTCCGCCTCCCGCACGGTCCAGCCTCTCCTCCAAGCGTCGGGACCCCTTTCCACCCTGCGGACGAGCTCGAAGAGGCATGGAGGAGGAGGAGGAGCAGGAAGAGGAGGCAGCATGGACGAATCCAGCATCTTGAGGCGCCGAGGGCTGCAGGTGAGGAGGGTGGGGAGTGGAGATCCATCGCGGGCAGGTACGGATGGGGCAGAAGCTAAGAAAACCGGAACCCTGTTTGCAGATACGCCGGGGAGGGAAGGATCTCCCTCGATTCCTAGCGGAAAGACCACGAGGCGCGCCAGCAGATCTCCTTGTCTCTTTTCTCTTGCACACACCGATCTGCTGCGCTTTGCAGGGTATGCTTCAGGGAGGCAGCCCAATTGATTGTTGGGGGGGGGGGGGGAGCAGAAGGGGAGTGTGCAAGGAAGGCACTGAGAAGGTGACTGGGTGGGCGAGTGCGTCCACACCAGCGTGGGCATCTTTTCGCCGGGAAGAGCTCGGCGGAGCAAGGTTGCAAAAAAGCAAAAAAAAAGCGGGGCGTGTTTCGTGCCGGCTGGACCTTCCCAACGACTGACGGTAAAGGGCGCTGGTGAGCTGCAGCGGGAAAAAAAAAGCAACAAAAAAAGCAACTCGGTCCTCTTTCTTTCCGCTTCATCCCCCCCCCCCATCCGCTCCTGCGTTGGGCAAGCGGGATCGGGGTGCCTCCGGCTGCCTCGAAACCCTCGGTGGCTTTCTGCCGCGTCCTGCTTTTTATGGGGCTCCCCATCGGGGCTGCGCCGTAATGAAGAACACGCCTCGAAGTGGATAGAAG